GCGGAGAAAGAGAGAGAGAGAGAGAGAGAGAGAGAGACCGTGGCCGGAATCAGGTGAAGAGAAAGGTCAACCGTTCGCCGGATGTGAGGGATGATAAATCCGCGAGAGGGCGAAGCGCGCTGCTCAGATTTCCCTCCGGCCCGTTCTTTTTCCATTGTTTTTCCTCCCTTCTTCTAGCTTGCTTTTTTTTTCGTTTGTTTGTTTGTTTGTTTAAGTGGAGCGGGTACGTGTAGGTGGTGGAAAAAAGGGTATGATCGTTGATGGGAATTTTGGGTGGATAGTCCAGTCAACGACGGTGTCGGGGATAGGTAAATAAGTATTAGGAATACTCGTGTGGGGTGAGATAAATGTGGAGAGAATCCGTGGGGATATTTTGTATTGTTATTAATTGAGGGAAGATTCGAAAAATATTGACGATGAATGGAGAAATTTTGAAATGTTTTGAGATCGAGTGGAATTGATATCGTTTTAGAAGAATTTTGAGATAATTAAATAATATTGGTTATTTATTAAGTTAATTTATTCAACGTGTTCTAAAACGTGCGCGATAAATTTTATAATCTCATTCTATTATTTGTTACGAATTTGTTACGAATTTTAATTTTTATACGCAAGTATAAAAATTCTAATTGATTGACGTTATAATAATCTGGATTAATTCTCTTTGGATCTATTTTGTATGCGACTAGCGAATGTTCTAATATTTATGGATGAGGGCTGCTGGAACGAAAGATTTGGTAGATTTATAAAAAGAAGATTCCAGATTTTGTCGAGGATCGCATAATATGAATTTCATATTTTCTTTCGCATTTTCTTGCGAAATTTTTCAACCTACATACGATTTGATCAAAAATGATCCAAGATAATACATTGCAATTTGTATATCCATGAAATCACGATAAACGCTTTTCTTCGCCGCTTAACTTATCATAAATATATACATATTTTAGTAACATTTGCATAGCAAGATATTTCACGGTTCAACTCTGAAATTGATAAAAGATAAAAGAAGAAACTTTCACGTAACAGAATTAAATAATATCATGACACGTAGCGAAGAAAATTTTAAAAATTTTAAGAGCACTTTTTTATTTTTTTTTTTTAAATAGAAAATTGTATAATTTTTTAAAAATTATTAGAATTTTGATATTAATATCAGAATTCTAAATATTAATAGTGAAAAAAAAAACATTTAAGATATTAAGATCAAGTGATATTAACATTATTGAAAGATATCAGGATTTTATATTTTGTTTCCCCATTGCCCAAGGGAATACTGAAAGTATTCCTTTTCACACACAATTTTATGTAAAATATCAAACAGTATATTTTTCTACGTATTGCGATATTTAAAATCATTTAATTTCTTCCAATGGAATTTTTCTCCATCTTCTATCTATTTCAGAGTCATGACTTGGCCCGGTTTTCATGAAAGATCCTATACAGATACATATTTATGACCAGTATAGCTTGACAAAAATATTCGAACGAGCACAGAATTTTAGCACAAATAAAATGATTTAGTGAGATGGATACAAACGTCGTTCAAATTTTTCTAGAATCAATCACTTTTAAAAACCGCGTTGGCGACACACGTAGGATGAAAAACAGCACGATTGTTTATCGTAAATATCGTATTTGTGTAATTAATAACGCGCAGCCTAGCTTTATTTGCTTCTATGGGGTTGTTTATACATACTTGATCGAGCTACGTTCTTCTTGTTAACT